TCTTTTGCAGCAACATGGATGGAGCTGGAAAAGATCATGCTTAGTGAAATAAGCCAGAAAGAAAAGGAAAAATACCTGATGGTTTCTCTCATAGCAGGAACAGAACAGAACAGATGAGAAAATAATGATAATGATGGAGAAAATAATGATAATGATGAACAGCTATATATGAGAGACATTTTGTGGGGGTAGAATGGGGAATGGGCCAAAAACAGTTGGGGGAGGGAAATGCACTGGACAATGGTGATGGCACATGGGTGATTTGGTGATGGGAAGCCCAAGGGGATTGCAACTGAAATGGAAAAATGCACAACATGATGATCAAAAATAAACTACTATATATAAAAAAACAAAACTAAACTAAATAAATAAATGGGGCTAGGAAAATTAGAAAGCTATACATAAAAGAATGATGATAGATTATTTATTAATACCAGACACAAAAATAAATTCCAAATAGATAATAAAATTTAGATATAAAACCTACAACAATAAAATATATAGAAGAAAGAAAGTATTGGCAATGTATTTTGCAATATTAACAATAAAGATATTCTGGATGATTTAATACCTATGTCAAGAGAATTCAAGACAAGAATAACAACACGGAATACACAAATTAAAAAGTTTCTATACAGCAAAAGTAAATAAAGATGATTAAATAAACACCCTACGAAGGGGAAAAATATTTATATAATATGTAACTGATAAACAATTAACAGGAGAGATGTATTTAAAAACTCATACAATTCAATCAAGCCAAAAATTTAACAAATAGGCAGCAGGTATGAACAGAGAATTCATTTAAGAGAATATCCAGAAAGCCAGAAGATAAATGGACAACCACTGTCACTCCTAATGAGAGACGCAGATTAAAAACAACAAGATACCACTTCCTACATGGGAGAATAACACATATGAAAAAAGATCCTCAACAAATTCTGGAGAAGATCTACATTACAGGGCCCTCCCTGGTGGCACAACGGGTTCAAGCGCAGCATCACAAAGCTAGCCACAGCCTCTTCAGCACAGGTTCGATCCCCACCTGGGAGGTGACCCACATGGCATAGCAGACCTCTCCTGTATTGCCCGCTGCTTCCTGAAGCAGTGTGTTTCGGTCAGTCTGCCTGTTCTGCTCCCCACTCTGTCTCTGGTGCATCCTCTCATTGCCCCTATACCTCTGGCCTGTACCCCAATTCTGTAAACATAAATAAATAAATCTTTTAAAAAAAATAAGAAGAAGATGTAGATGAAAAGCAGTCATATTACACTGCAGATGGGAATGTGAACTGCTGGAATCGTTATGGAAAGCAATCTGGATTTATCTTAAAAAATAAAAATAGAAATACTGTATGACCCTGAGATACCATCACACTCACAGAATACTTAGCCATCAATAAAAACACCACATGTTCCACAATATTCACAGCTGCATTATTTATAATAACTAGGACATGGAAGCAGACTAAATTTTCAAAAGACCAAAATGACATTGCATTTTTATATCATGGAAGGTTACATAGCTGCAGGAGAGGGTGCGCACAACCTTTTTCAACAAAATGGAGGGATTTGGGGGAAATTATGTACAGCAAAACAAGTTGGAAAAATAACCAACACTGTGAAACACTTTTAAAAACTTCTGGGCATCACATATATACAATGGAATATTACTCAGCAACCAAAAAAGAGAAACACATGTCTTTTGCAGCAACTTGGATGGAGCTGGAAAAGATCATGCTTAGTGAG